ATGGTCGAAATATCAGGTAAGGCTTCCATGAATGTACTAATAATACAAATCTGACTGTAAACCTTTCAAAAGTTTTTTTCCCGAATGCCATCACTCTGCTAAACAACTGATTCCCACAACACTGTCAAATTATTTACTAAGACTGAATTACTATTATTATTCTCATCCTTCCTAGAACCTTTCTCTTCCCACTTACGACTATAACCATGTTGCTTGTATTTTTACAATCTATATTGTTTTATTTATTTCCTACTGTGATGTGATTGCTTATTAGTAACCCATGACTATCACTGTTGTATCTTATGGTTCTTGATGAATGTATTTTATTTTTCTTTATGTACATTGAGAGCATATGCATCAAAGATAAATTCCTTGTGTCCAATCACACTTGGCCAATAAAGAATTCTATTCTATTCTATTCTATTCTATTCTATTCCATTCCATTCCATTCCAATCTATTCCAATCCAATCCAATACCCAATTTAAATGAAGGAGCATCTCTGTTTGTATCCATTTTAATGCACAAGTGGCACCTGTACAATGTTTAACAATGATGTCACAACATCTGAAGTGATTGTTCTAGGATAGTTTCTAGTGATCACATCAGATCATTCATATCTCATGGCCTGATTCCTCAAGATGACATCATTTAAGGAAGATCTCTGTCTCTGTCTCTGTCTCTGTCTCTCTGTCTCTCTCTCTCTCTGCATTATACAGAGTTGACCCAGTTCCATCCTATAAATTCAGCCAGCTGGGAAAAGCAGCTAAGCCTACCAAACTTTGGAACCCGGGCTCAAAGTTGACCTCAGGTCTGAACTTCAAGCTGCCTTACAGGACGAAGCACTCAAAACGATGGAAACAAAACAGGCACCCTGATCGAATATTTGATTTGGAGGAGTGGGCAGTCCTTTTCTCTGGGGATCAGGAGACCCAGATTCCAGGATTGAGGAGAGGTTGTCGTACTCCAGCATTTCCAGAAGACGCAAGGTTCCTAAAGGTACCCAGAACTTTGGATGGTGGCCTACGTGACTCATCTCAAAGGTCCCCCCATTTCTGATTTCACCAGACCCAAAAACGAACTCCTCGATTCTCTCCCAAGCTCAAGACTTTCAGCTCGTTCCCACTCTTCCCCTTTCACCTCACTTCCTCCTCCCTCAGCTATGTTACTCCAGACATCTGAGCTCGCCCATCATCAAGGGACCTCGGGGATGATCTCCCCTTCCCCTGCTACCTAGCCGACCGACTTCCCAAGTGCTGAAGAATGTGGGACCCTCTGTTACTCAGCTAACACTCCCACCAGTCTCATAATTGCCTGGGCTGACTGGCTTGGTTGAATGATAAGAGTTCATCCACCTTTTTGGCGTACTTTGATTTCCCACCTCCAGTTTGGGAAATCCTCACAAGTATTCCTTATTTTTTTAAGAAATCCATTTAGAACTTTTGGCTTGATGAAGGTCATATGGATCAGGAGCATTTTCAATCTAGGAAGTATTGATAAGGAGCATTTTCAATCTAGGAAGAATTTATAAGGACTATTTTTAATATAGGAAGTATTAATAAGGAGCATTTTCAATCTAGGAAGCATTGATAAGGAGCATTTTAAATCTAGGAAGAATTCATAAGGACCATTTTTAATATAGGAAGTATTGATAAGGAGCATTTTCAATCTAGGAAGCATTGATAAGGAGCATTTTCAATCTAGGAAGTATTGATAAGGAGCATTTTAAATCTAGGAAGAATTTATGAGCACCATTTTTAATATAGGAAGTATTCATAAGGAGCATTTTAAATCTAGGAAGAATTTATAAGGACCATTTTTAATATAGGAAGTATTCATAAGGAGCATTTTCAATCTAGGAAGTATTTATAAGGACCATTTTTAATATAGGAAGTATTGATAAGGAGCATTTTAAATCTAGGAAGAATTTATAAGGACCATTTTTAATATAGGAAGTATTCATAAGGAGCATTTTCAATCTAGGAAGTATTTATAAGGACCATTTTTAATATAGGAAGTATTGATAAGGAGCATTTTAAATCTAGGAAGAATTTATAAGGACCATTTTTAATATAGGAAGTATTGATAAGGAGAATTTTAAATTTAGGAACTATTCATAAGGAGCATTTTCAATCTAGGTAGGATGCGGTTCCTGAGCGCGCATCCCTTCTGTCTCCGCGCCTTCGCCCCCCTCCCCCCACCTAACAGGAAGCTGAGCGGGGGCCCGATCCTTCTCAGGATGCCAGCGCAGCATCCCTTCCCCCCCCTAACCCACCCTGTCCCAAAGTGCGCAGGCACCCGGGAGGCTAGCTCAGGATCCCCCTTCTTTGCGCCCCTCCGTCACGCTCCTTACCTGAGACGGCCCCCACGGAAGACCCCCGCCCGGCCCGGCTTCCCCACCCACCCCTTTGGGCCGGACGTGGGCGAAGCGCGGCCCGGTAGCCCCGACCGTCCGGCGCCACACCGCTGCGCCTTCTCCTCTCCACCTGCTCTCTCTCTCTCTCGACCACCTAATCGCAGGACGCGCAAAAAAAAAAGCCTCCCCCGTCGGGCAGAGGGGGGGGGTGGAGAAACGGCGGAGACGGACGGGGACGCCATTGGCTGGCCGAGAGCGCGCCGGCTTCCCATTGGGCGCGGGCGGGGCCGTCGCTGACGAAGGGCTGGGGTTGGCGGGGGAGAGGCAAGGTGGGGAAAGGCGCGCCGCGGCGGCTTTTGTGTGCTCGCTCGGGCGGTGGGGAGCGGTCGGGCCAGAGCTGCGGCAGAGAGCCAGCCAGCCAGCCCGGCAGGCAGGCAGGCAAACGGGGCAGGCAGCGAGCGCAGCCAACAGGGCTGGTGGACGCCGTCGCAGGCATCAGCGGCAGCGGGCGGGGTTCCCTCTCGGTGCGTCCTATTGCCGAACCGGCTCGCTCGCAGTTCCCGCTTTCCCTCCGCACTATGCATCGGAGCGCTCCGCTTGCGCCTTGCCGGGGGCCGCTGGCGCTCCTCTCCGCACCTCGAGGGGCGTCGCGGGACGTGCGGGCGGACTAGAGGGGAGCCCGGGAGCAGCGCAGGAGCCGAGCCCGAGCCGGGAAGGGCAGGGCAGGGCAAAGGGGAGCAGCGGGGCTCCAGCCCGCCCGTCCGCCCCTTCGGAGAAGCTAGCCAGCGAGCCAGCTGCGGGACGAGCCAGCGCGCAAAGGCGAAAAGGGGACTCGTCGGCGCGATGCTGGCCCTGGAGCTGCTGAGCCTGGCTTGGCTAGCCAGCGTGGCGATGGGGCAGAACGAGACGGAGCCCATCATCCTGGAGGGCAAGTGCCTGGTGGTGTGTGACTCCAACCCGGCTTCCGATCCAACCGGCACGGCGCTGGGCATCTCGGTGAGGTCGGGCAGCGCCAAGGTGGCCTTCTCGGCCATCCGCAGCACCAACCACGAGCCGTCGGAGATGAGCAATCGCACCATGATCATTTACTTCGACCAGGTAGGATTCCCCATCCTGGAAGGGGGGGTTAAGACGGGGGGGACTGTCGAGGAGNGCTATTGCTAAAGACAAAACTTTTTGCACCATGGAAGGAAGAAAAAGACTCCATCCATTGCAAGAAAAGAATAAGAGAAAGGAAAACAAAAAAAACAAAAACAAATAAAGGTTCCCCTCACACATATATGCTAAGCGTTCCTGACTCTGGGGGGCAGTGCTGATCTCTGTTTGAAAGCCGAAGAGCAGCACTGTCCGAAAAATAAATAAATCAAGACACGTGGCCAGCATGACTCAGTGCCGAAGGCGCCTGGAGTGCTGTTACCTTCCCACCAAAGGTGGTTCCTATTTTTCTACTTGTATTTTTTACATCCTTTCGAACTGCTAGGTTGGCAGAAGCTGGGACAAGTCACGGGAGCTCACATCATTACAGTATAATGCATTATAATGCTAATACTTCTACATAAACAATATCCCGGCACTCTGCTACCACACAAATGAAAATGATAAAGAAATTGCAGATCTCAAACCATGGTCAGATCTCTCTCTCTTGTTTTAAGAAGGAAACTAACTCCATTCGCTTTTCTTTACATGGCTGTGGAATCTCACACCACTTTCTCATGGAAAGAAATACAGACCTAAACTTTCTTCCTGGAGGCTCCGTTACGGTATTTCACAGCCAGAGAGAAAGTTCCCGAAATTCTAGAACCATACAGTCCTAGTTCTCAAATAATTATTGGCTTTTTAGAGTGTTTTTTTTTCCCTCTCAACAAGAGAGAACAAGAAATCAAAAGATGTCAATGTTTACTTTGGAGTTTCACCATGTAGGAGGATCAGTTACAATGCCACTCAGTGTCACTCCAAAGTAAACCAAATTTAGTTTGGCTGCCCCAGCAAAGCTCAACGGGGCTGGGATTTTTCATGTACCAATGAGTTCCAATGCATGCCTGTTAGAAGTAACTCTCTAAATCGTTATATAAACTGTCAAGTCAAGATTGTAGAGATATGGGTAAGATGATATCAAGACCCCCATGGCCCTCTTGAATATACTGACGAGTAGCCGAGAGAAGTGCAAAATTGTGAATCCGGTTTGGTGTAAACGAGCTCACAACATTTCCAGAATTAATCTTCCTCCCCATCCTGCCCTATTTCTGTATGATTCAGTTACAACAGGGTTAAACTCAAACCTAGGTTTACCTTACAGCCCCTTCTTCCGCACATTGATATAGTAGCAAGGATGGCTAAAATTTGACTAGGCAACTGGCTGATTTGTCTCAGGGATATTTCTGGACATATCCATAACTCGATGGCCGAAATATCAGGTAAGGCTTCCATGAATGTACTAATAATACAAATCTGACTGTAAACCTTTCAAAAGTTTTTTTCCCGAATGCCATCACTCTGCTAAACAACTNTAATAATTTCCTCCTAGAAAAAAAAGAAATCACCCAACAACCGTCACACTTAGCAACAGAAATTTGGGGCTGAATTGTGGCAATAGGCTGAAGCTTATCTGCATTCTACAAAAAGGATGCTTATTCGCACCATGGAGGAAATGTAGGGGGGAAATGGCTGCTGATTGGGAATGCAGTCTTATTTACACAGGACTCATCTTGCATATTACGAGCTCTATCCCTAGGTAATTATTCCCAGAACTACACTGTGCGCCTGCAAACATCTGCACATTTATTTGGAAGCTGTGCCGAACTGATGTTGGCTTAAAATACCTTGGTGAAATCAGTGAGATGACTCTGTAATTAGGCAGCCGTCTATCTCCTTGAAGGCGAGTTGTAAAGGACGAGATTTCCACGTCTTCGGCATCCCCAACAGGTAGCCCTCCAGTTTCTGGAGCCGTCCTTTGCATGTGAGACCAACGGGTGGTTTAACCCACCTTTGTAGTTAATCTTGAATGGCAGATCATCCCCCCCAAGGGTTTAAGGCAGGGTATCTGTTTTTTCTCTCTCTAGCCCTGGCTGTGAATATCTTGAAATTGAAATGGGGAATTGTCTCCATGTCAGTTTACTTCTAAGCCATTGTCCCTCTCTTGTTCATTCATCTCCACACAGCTGGTTTTATTGCTTAACTGCTTTTAAGCTTTTCTCCCTCCCTCCCACCCTCTCTTTCTCTTTCTGTCTTTCTGTCTGTTTCTCTCTGTGTGTGTCTCTGTCTCTCTCTCTCTGTCTCTCTCTCTCCGACTGTCTTTCTCTCTCTGTGTCTATCTCTCTGAGACTCTCTGTCTCTCTGTCTCTCTCTCCATCTTTCTCTCTCTGTCTCTCTCTCTGAGACTCTCTGTCTCCCTCTATCTTTCTGTCTGTCTTTCTTTCTCTCTCTGTGCCTCTGTCTTTCCCTCTGTCTGTCTCTCTCTCTCTGAGACTCTGTCTTTCTCTCTCTCTCTGAGACTCTGTCTTTCTCTCTCTCTGAGACTCTCTATCTCTCTCTGTCTCTCTCTCTGACTCTATCTTTCCCTCTCTCTGTCTCTCTCTCTGAGACTCTCTGTCTCTCTGTCTTTCTCTCTCTCTGTGTGTGTGTGTCTGTGTCTCTCCCACCCTCTCTCTCTCTCTCTGACTCTCTGTCTCTCTCTCTCTGACTCTGTCTTTCTCTGTCTCTGTCTCTGTCTCTCTCTCTATTGCTGTCTTTCTGTCTGTCTCTGTGTGTGTGTCTCTGTCTCTCCCTCCCTCTCTCTCTCTCTCTCTCTGACTGTCTCTCTGTCTTTCTGTCTCTCTCTCTCTCTGACTCTGTCTTTCTCTCTCTNGTGGGGGGTGGGAGAAGGGAGGGGGCATTTAGGAATAGAAGGTGGAAGGGGAGAGATGCCTTCAAAGGGCTCTTTCAGTCAGCCCCGACTTTCAGTTCTCCAGAAGGATCCCCGAGATTAGCGGGGAGCAGATGGGATAGTCAAGTCCTTAAAGTCAAATTTTCCAGTTGAGTGCAACCTGGCTCCTTCCCGCTGGGACTACAAAACCTCTCCATCCCAAGCATCAGGAATGATGGACCTACATTGTGGAGCAGCAGCCCCTGAACCTGGAGGAGTCATCTAACCCAGGCTTAGTTAGTCTCCTTCTTCCGGGAAGAGAGTGAAAAGGAAGACGTAAGGATGGAATCCCACCATCCCAGTGGACAGCTCCCAATGGAAGGAGAATGGAAGAAGGCTGGATGGTTGTAGAGAAAGGACCTTTAAGAAAAGCTTTGATCCACACCTGGACAATGTCCCTCTCCCTTTTTCTCTTTCTTTACTCCGTTCTCTCTTTCTCCCCCTCCATCCCGTAGGTGCTGGTCAACATTGGGCTCAACTTCGACTCGGAACGCAGCACTTTCATCGCTCCCCGAAAGGGCATCTACAGCTTTAATTTCCACGTGGTCAAGGTGTACAACAGGCAGACCATCCAGGTGAGACTGCAGGGCTTCTTCCACCAAGGGGACTTTACTCTTTTATTTTTGCCCTGGGTGGGAAAGCAGCCCCCTCCCCAATTTATGCGAATGAATGAAAGGGGCCAACTGTTGTCAATTCACCTGAGAGCTCCAGGGAGGAACTCCCACCCTTGAATGAAGCGAAGTGTCTTTCCGAGTCAGCCCGCCTAGCTCCAGGACTGCACAATAAATGTTGACGCTCTCGGCGAGGAGGTGTGTGTGTGTGTGAGTGGGTAGGTGCACACACACACATTTGTGTGTGCGTATTTTGATGTCGAGGGATAAGCGAGTGTGTGTCAGATCCATCATCTGCTCAGTGCAGAAATCTTGTGCCAGAAACCATCCAATAAAAGGTAGTGGTTAATTTCCCGGTACGTAATACCCATTCTTGTATGTGTGGGGTGTGTGTGTGTGTGTGTGTGTGTGTGTGTGTGTGTGTGTGTGTGTGTGTGGGGGTTGCTTTGCGGATTTTGAAATTCAGGTCTGTAAATCAGGGTGGAGATAGTTGACTGGGTTTTTCATTGCAGAATTATACTATACGGGCAAGATTTATGGGAGTAACGTCTATACATACAGATACAGATTTAGAGATAGATAGATAGATAGATAGATAGATAGATAGATAGATAGATAGATAGATAGATAGATAGATAGATAGA